GTTTAAAAGGAGGAATATACTCTTGTCCACCTTGTGATATCATGGGGTAATACAGAAAGTGCTCTGTTTTTAAGATCTAGTCAGAAAAAAGGATTACCGTATTTTTCAGACTTCAACGTGCAATATCAATAATGTTGAATTCTCTCATCTATTTTCATACATAAGGTGCACCGGATTAAAGGCACATTAAGCGGAACAAACGGACGACACTTGAGACTGATACCTCAGCCGAGCCGTCCACAATCCATTGCCAGATAATGGATAGTGGCCAGATAGATAGATAATTCCCCCGGCGTTGCCTCCCTGTCTTGGAGAATGTGTATTATGATTGTGAATGTCAGTAGATAATTTATAAATTTTTAAAATTTCCTACGAGGAGGACTAAAATATACATAGAGTAATAAACTGTTTAATGCAGCTTTGTGCACATTTGTTTATGTTTTACAGAAACAAAACTTAAAACCACATGGCTAATTTACATAAACTATAAGCACTGAAAAAACAGCTCGCTCCTTGTGCGCTGATGCAGTCATCTTCTCTCAGACTTCGTGAGGCTCCTGACTACGGTAGCCATAATGCTCTGACAATCCATCAAGCGGTGCAGCTTCATAGCTTACCAAAGTCGTACTAAAATATTTTGACAGATTTCTGGGCGCCGTGTACCACATAAAATCAGCATGAGGTCAGTGAGCAGAACCAGAAATAATACATAAGGCGCACTGTCGATTTTGGAGAAAATTAAAGCATTTTAAGTGCGCCTTATTCTCCAAAAAGTACGGTACTCAGACATGTGTGAATGAAACAAAACACAACTCCAGGTATGTTTTGATGAGGAAACAGCCTTCTAACATGGATTAAAGCTCACCAGAATCCATTTTGTGTAATATAATAACTTTAATTTGAATGACATTAACAGCATCTAAATGACCTGGTGAAAATGTTGTCCACAATAAACGTGAGAGCAGGTGCTTTAACTCACACCCCCTCCTCATTGGTCAATTATCCTTTAACGACCAGGCTGCAAAAGACAGCATCACTAATGAAAAGCTGCCAATGGGTTTATTCTGTATTCAAACAGAGCCACGTTTACAGAATGCAGAGATAAATTTTTATACACTAACATAACACAATGTAATTCTTGTTATTGTGTGGGCTGGTTTCATTAACTAGTAAATTACACACACACTACTGGAGTATTAGACTACACTGACCTATAAAAAATGAAAAGACCTTTTGAACCACTTATCTCACTTATAATCTACTCATGTGCATTCAATTCAATTCACTTTATTTTTGTAAAGCCCAAAATCACAACAGCACTTCCCTCTCAGGGCACATAAGGCTATCGTTACAGCTGTTTATGTCCTGAATCGAAAACAGTATCTCTGCGGACATGCTCTGATCTATGTTATTATGTTCTATTCTCATCAAAAACATACCTGGAATTGTGTTTTGTTTCATTCACATATGTTTCACACACAAACCCTGCATATTTATGATCAGCTATTCTCTCAAACAGAAACAGACTGTTCCACCTTGTGATGTCATGTGGTAATACAAGAAGTGCTCCATTGTGTTTTTTAAACTCCATACACCTTCATTAGAATCATTTGTATGATTTTAATCCAAGAATTGCCAATCTCTACAGAACAAAGGGTACAAGGCAGCTGTAAACTCGAAAACTACAACTACATGACATCACAAGGTGGAACAGAGCATTTTGTGCTATGGAGATGAAGACAGACATAAAGGATATCCAGGTATGTTTAGATAACAACATTCTAAAATGGCTTAAAACTCAAAAGTCAATTTCATGTAAAGGGACAGTCCAGAATTTTGGACATAGAGCCTCATTTCCTAGTGAGCCAGAGCGTTGGAGACATGTAGAGACACTTTTTTAAATATTCCATCCAGTCCTTGTATTTGCAGAGGTCACTGGTGCTAGGCTAGTGAATGTCAATGGCCATAGTTATCCTGTCACTAAAAACAGTCTTACCCACTCCACAAAGCACTCAAAGCAAAACAATTATAACACCAGACTATCGATGTAAATGTCTGTGTTGATAGAGTATTTTTAGAAGTAAAACCAACCTTGCATTTGAAGAATTTATGTCAGAGCAGAAGCAGCGAGTTGTACTTCCTGATAGAAAGCTTGGCAGCGGTGGACTGATATCACCTAGCACCTACAGTATCTTATTGGCAAAGTAAAATTCCGCTGCTGCTGAGAAAATAGTCCCTCAACATGAGACGATTCATGCGATGCAAGGTTAGTCTTATTTCAAACTTATTCTATCAACACAGACATTTACATCGACAGTCTGGCAGAATAATAGATTTGCTTCGGGTGCTTTGTGGAGTGGGTAAGACTTTTTTATTGGTAGGACTGTCCCTTTAAGTAGATAAAATTTTGGTTGACATAAACCAAAATACACCAAATTGTTGACCATAAATATAAATATGTCATATTTTTCCATTAATTTATTTTATGTAAACGAACTTACATTTTTTAAACACATCAACATCAAATGCATTCTTTTTTATTTATCCTATGCTATTTATTTTTCTTTATTCATTTTTGCTTTTTTATTTTATGTTGACTTTACTTCTGCAATGAGAAAAGCTTGTGTTTTAGGAGGGGTGCACTGCTACCCCAGCTGCTCTCCAGAAGGGAAGATCAAATGTGCTCCCCCTGTGCAAATGGGGCCCCTGGATGTGCCAACAGCTCAGGGCCTGACCTCCACAACACCACACCAGCTCCAAACCTCAAGTGGATACAGCCAATTTATCAGATCGCACCCACACTTTATGCATCAGGCTAAAAATTGACCAAGACAGGCCACTGGGATGGTTCAAATGGCTTTATGAGTAAGCGTGATAGAGTACGTGCTACAGGTAAATGCAACAGAGGTGACAGAGTTAGCTGCGGTTACCTAGGTTAGAAAATAGTGAGAGGTATTTTTTGAGGTTCGGGTTAAACTGAGTGGTTACAGGATGTTTCTATTGGTGGATTTCAGACTCTTGAATGGGATGTCATAAGAAAAGTAAGGGACTGTTTTCCATCAGTTACATTGCTTTTTCCATAAAGAATATTTGAAATGTTGAACCTGATCATTTCTATAAGCAGTTAGACCATTCAGATCACTTTATTATAATAAAAAGTGTATTAAGGCAATATACATTTTGCCTGCCCCAATCTGTACTCCAGCTGTTCTCTTTTTTGCCATGATTTTAAGTGAACAAAAGTGGGACAAATACACTTGCACAAACACTCTTATGTGAACTTGATTTAATGTTCCAACTACTCAAAGTAGCAACAACAAAGAATTGAACATTCACAGTGTTGAGAAGTAACTGAATACATGTACGCATTCTGAATACTAATTTTGAGTAAATGTGTACAGTTGCATTTTCATTTGGTGATATTCAGAACACAGTTACTTTTATAAAATGAAAGGAATACATTGGTGGTACGTGATCACACAATTTTGGCTTCAAACTGCACAGAATTAGTCAGAAAAAATATAAACATTTATCTTTTTTGCACAGTGATGCTGTTTTTTTTTTTTCATATATATTTTATTTAATTTTTGATTTTTTTTTTATATTGTGGTCTTACGGCCACACAAAAATGCCACAAAATATACAAGTGTACAAATGCCACATTTAAACCCCCTCCTTCCCATTCCCAAACCCCAATTCAGCGTTCCCACACCCACCCTTAACAGACACTGAAAAAAAAAAAAAAAAAAAAGTGATGCTGTTTTTAGTTATACATTGCATAGTTACACTATTACTCAACTCTGCATGCGTGAAAATATTAAGAATACAGTACTCTGACTGGACCATGTATTGGAATGCATTACAAAATACATGTTATAATACAGGTGTTTTGTAAATAAATACATTTTGAAAGTATCCTTCCCATCACTGCATATTCATAATGAAATTGTGATTCCACTAATAGATACTGAAGTGCTATAAGCCCTTTGTAGCTTTGAAAATGCAATAGAGATAAACTTACATTCTGCAAAATGTCTGAAGAAAACCTCATAGAAAGTTCTACCAACACATTTTTTCTGTATTCTGTTTAGTTTATACCACGAATGTATACAGTACATGATATAACTTCCTCCCAACAGAAAAAAAGCTTTTCTCCCAGTGCATACGGTAGTAATCTTGAATTCACATTAGAATATGAGGCTTAGCATATGAGCAGAAAATTACACAGGCACCTGAGGCACATTTGTGTAAATAATCCTGTAACGCACACAAGAACAGACTTCCTATAGGCAGCCTGAGCCCACTGAAACATGCTCCTATGCACCTCTGCACTGTGAGGGTCAATATCATGTTGTTCACTCACTTTCACATACAGACACATCCCTGGAGGCCCAACACTTTAGCGTCCACAATGGAACAGTTAGCGCTCCGAGCCCAGATCGAAAACTGAAACATATTACGGAGCTATGCATGTTAGAAGAGAAAGCGCACGGGCAGGTATGTATAACACGGTGGGGACCAAACCTCTGCACAGTTCGTTCACATGGAGACTGCCTCCTTCATGGGGACAAAAATCAGGTCCTCATGACATAATCTTTTATTATAAGATGTCTGTATAATTCTTCAGGTAGGAGGTAGGTAGGTTTCATCTTAAAAGAAAATTAAGATCAAAGTGAGAAGAGTGAAAATGTTTTGCCGCTCATCCATGCAGCTTCTTCAGTTCTGACAGTGTTCTGTAAATTACAGCCTTATATCTGTCTGAAGGAAGAAGCAAATTACACCAAAACTACCATTCCCTAGTTGTTTACAGGCAGGAGCCCCTTACCATACAAATGCAAATGAACCATTAAATGTCAAAGAATTTTTCCAAGATTTATTTATTTTTTTAACATACATTATTATTTTTTTCTATTTCCACATTACCAATAAAATAAAAATCAAGTGACATCAGCTGTGGTTGGCATGTGTATTTAAGTTTTGTCATCTGAAACAATAAACTAAACATGAATAACTACCATAGACTATTTTAACAATGTTAAAACTATTTTTGTTTTATTTTTACATAATGCAAAGTGTAAAGGGTAATGTTTGAAGATGCTTTAGTGTTGGTAATTGCGCTGGAACACCCTCCTCTGCTCCTTTACTACGGCTGCTCCTTTCAGGCAGCTGTATGGCTGAGCTTTTTCACTTTCGCAACAAAACTTCAGGAGACGTACCTCCTCTCGTGCTGAGAGGACAGTTTCTCATTGTCTCTGTGAGTTACACCTCCACCAACTCCAATACCAGTGGTTTGAGAGTCTCTGCATCTCTCTGGATCCGACCTGTTTATGGTTCTCATTTCAATGATATTGTCCTGTGCTTTAAGTTGTTCCTTCATCTTTTCAAGGACTTTACTGGTGCTGGATAGCTTTTTTTTTTGAGCTGGACACTTTGTCTCACTGAACTGTTGGATCTCTTTATATCCATTTATTCAAGTCGCCAGCTCTTTGTTTTTCTTCTGGAGAGAAGCTTTAAGTTCTTGCATCTCCAAATCATCAGTCTTATTCCTAATTTGGAGTTTGCAAGCTCTTGCTTCAACTGCATATTTCCCTGTACTGTAGAGTTGTACAGGTACTGAATCTCCTTATGTGCATTAATCTGGTCTTGCAGTTGCTTGTCTTTCTACTGAAGAGAATCATTGAGTTTAACGGTTGTTCAGCAGGAGTGCAAACATGACAAAAAACACTTAAAGGTGCTCTGTGTCATTTTTCTGATGGAGGATCTGTGGCCTGGGCAGAAGGACAAGGGACAGTAGCATGCCAGGCGGTCATCATGACTGCCGAGAGCAGCTTTCGTTTTTTTTTTTTAATTATTATTATCAACAACATGTTTTAAAGTTCAGATATTGGTAAAACATAGGCTAAATTTGGGGCTCAGGTTAAGCTTAGGCAAGTAGTGACTATGTTTAAGGTTAGGATCAGTCTCTCGGAAATGCATGTACATCAATGTAATGTTCCCGAGAAGCATGGAACCCCAACACGAGTGTGAGTGTCTGTGCATATGCGTCTGTGTGTTTGTGTGTCTGTGTGTGTGTGCGCAGAGGGACCTGGCTTCCATTACAGCGGTGCATGATCAAATAGGAGTCAGCTGAAGCCAGTGCTGGAGCTGGTTAGCGGCCCGCCAACAAACCCAGAGCTGGAAGGAAGATTTTTATCAAACGCACAAACGCAATGAGAGGGGCATTTATACTTCCCAGGATACCCACTCCGCCCCGGCAACCATACGTCCATATAAAGCATGAAGAGGGAGTGCGTTGTCTCGGGGAGAGGCGCAAACTGAACCGCGGGGAAGAAAAATAAACAAAAGGCAAATGTAATAAAAAGAGCAGTAAAAGTCTTGCAAAATGCTATCCTCAGACTTTTTTCCAATTGCGGTGTTTAGGCCGAAGTAATATGTCATGATTTCATTGCTCCTCTAATCTGATAAAGCTTTATGGTTCCTGCTTCTATTGGCGTCATTTATTGTCATTTGGCGCTGACCCCCTCACGCATTCAGGGCTCTCCCACCACCCAAAGATTGAGTTAGGATCCACGCCTCTCGCTGACATCACCATCCGTCTGTCTGTAGCGAGGTGGGCGGGTGCTCAGGGTGAGAGATGGTTGCGATTTGGCATTTGTCTACATAGAAGGAGGAAGTTGGTTAAGGTATGTTTTGTCTCCCCCAAGAGGCAGAGAGGTGAGGTTCCTGGACAGACCACCCCACTGTTTTAAGTTGACCCAAGGGTTATCTAATACAAGTCAGGGGTGGCCTGTCTGGGAGTGTTCTGGAGATTACAAATGAGTCATTCCTGAAATGCAAAGATGTACTGGTCAAGATGGAGGATTAAAATGTCATTAAAATTCCCTCGGGGTGTGCTAACTGTGGACACTGCTCTGTCTGAAGCACTTTTACTCAACTTAGTTTTGTTTTAATACAATCTGACTATAAAGAACTGATTATTGAGCTGGAATTACAACACATGAGATGATTTGTGCTGTTAAATAAGTCCCTCAAACATAAAATTACAGTCACAAGCTTTCAGTTAGTCACTCTCACCTTTTTTTGTGTAAATTGTGTCTAACATTTGCATGGAATCTAAAGCTACGTTCAGACTGCAGGGCTTAATGCTCAATTCGGATTTTTTTGTGAAATCAGATTTTTTTTGCGAGGTCATTCACATTTCCAATTTAAATGCGCCTTGCATGTGATCTCCAATGTGAACTTTAAACGCCCCAAAAGTGTCCCGCATGTGCATTGGAGGACACGACGACATCACACGTTGCACACAATGTGCTCGGTGTTCACAGAAGTAGCGTAAACGATGCGAGCACTGAGCACTTGGCGATTTTAAAGTTGCTGTCGTACTGGAGCCAGAACATGTACAGCTCATTTGTTTTAAGGAGGAGATTGAGAAGGAGAAGGACAAGGTTTTTGGCCATGGTGTTTTGTGGGGCAATGGCAGCAATGTCCATAGAAAGAAATGTGTGTGTGCAGAGTCGCAGCCAAAAGTGCTGGAATTACTCTGTGCTTCGCTGCTTCACTCAAAGGTAGTTCATACAAAATTTTCATATGATGACATTGTGAGTGCCCACTTGTACCACTCTTGCAGGAGGAAACACATCTTCAGCAGCCTGTTTCAGTGAGCAAGTGTGTCGGCATTGGGCTGTATTGGCTCGCAACAGATGCTTGTTACAGTGTTGATATGACGTGTAGGTGGGATGAATGTGACCTGGTCATTCACACTGAAGTCACATGCCGAAAGATCAGATATGTATCTGTTTTAGGACCACATATCCAAGTGATCTGGGTCACATTTGAAAAAAATGGATCTGTGTTGTTCAGTCATTAAAAGATCAGATAAAGGTCAATTAGAAGTGAAAAAAATCTGATTTGGGTCACTTCAGGCTGCAGTCTGAATGTAGACTAAGTCTCCCTATTGTGACATCATCAATGTGTTTTCTACTTGTATGTCTACCTGTATTTTGGAAATGAAATGGTGTAATCCCTCTGTTGTTCAGGAGTAAGTCCAGCCCCAAAGGGAGGCGTTTTAGACTGAAAATGCCTTGCCATTGTTTAGAGCTAACATCATTATGGGTCATTGTTTCCCTATTGTGTATTGTTTCACCTTCAGCATTGTTAAGTACCCGATTAACATTTGATTGGCTTGTTGTGGTCTTATTCTATTGATGACACAATTTTGTTATGGTCACTGAATCTATCAGTCACTCAATCCGTCAGTATTATTTTTCCCTAAGGGGTAATTAAAGTACATCGAGCAAATAAAATGCATGTTAAGATACACTTACGGTCCACAGCATTTGACCCATTCTTCAGGAGTGCAAAGGTCTCAGTGTAGCTGAAAATATATATTTATATCAGGAATTTAGTACACACAAACGTAATGTTTTGCTGCATTCTTACCGTGAGAGTCCTCGCCTCTCCACAGATCTGAACTTGGCCTGGTAGTTGGTCCCCATTAATGCATACTGTAAAACTTCATGGGGAAATGCAGATGGTGGTCCCTGTCCTAGAAAAGTTACACAGTAGGCAAGGCAAGTTTATTTGTATAGCACAATTCATACAAAAAGTAATTTAAAGTGTTTTACAGAATAAGAAATACATTAAAATCACAATACAAACAAATCAAAACATAAATAATCATCATAAAATTAAAAGAGAGAGAGACATTAAATGAGAGAGAAGAGTGTAGAATGAAAAAAATGCACCTTTAATAACTAAAATTTGATGTTCATCTCGGACTTAGACAAATGTTATTGATCCACAAGGAAAATTATTTGGAAATTTAAAGTTGCCATAGTAACAAATCAGGCAAACAGTTAAACATGTTGGAACAAAAACCCAGTGTTTTGTTGCTTCCAGGTTTAACACAACGAAGTTGGGCTTTCCCCGCTCTTTGAAACAGGGATTGTCTTATTTCCTGTGACTGGTTCCGTCCGCGGCTCCCATAACCCAAACATACTCCACATGTGGTAGTGGCGACCCTTTCCCCCCTTTAACCCACTGTATCCACAAACTCTGAGCTGCGAACTTCCCTACATGCTCTATTTGACTTTACAAGCCCGTGTTGGCAACGTAATTCAATTTTGGAATTTATGTTTATTTCACAGCAAATCCACCAGACGAAATCCAGCCCCTATATAGAACGCAAAGGCCACTGCGTTTTTTTCAGAGCGCTTACATATGGTTATGGTTTATGCTATGTCTGCTTTTGCACGGTACAATAACGCCATGAAATTTTGAATAGAAATATCTGCAGTGTGTGATTCCCCGTGGTCTAAGCCCTTTTGAGACAATGATAAGAGTACGGTGGATAAGATCGCCAAAGCTATACTAAGGTGGTTCATATTAAGATGAAGATTCGCTATACTTTCATGGTTAAACAAAGCCAGAGAAATAGTTAGGTCACACGTGTTCATTCTATCCTATATGTTTAGATCATGTTACGTGTTTTACTGTTTTCTGTGGGAAACCGTGCCCCCGTTTAGAGCAGTGCGCCGTATTCCTGGTTTGAATTAACTAGAAACATGCTCGCACCGGTGATAAGTATCAGAGAGGACAGCCCGCAAGATTACGCTGGATCTTAGAGCGGCTTCTTTTGAGTTTTCATTTTGGACACGAGATAAGAAGAGGTCTGTGCAAACACGAAGGGCGCATATTTCAGATGAACTGCTACGGTAAGAAAACCCTTGCAAATAAATTGGACCTTTTCCACAAACAATACAGAGTTGTGACTTTTTATGTATTAGAACGAAACATATATATTTTGTAGGAATTATTAGTTGTGACAATATAAATTTGACTTTTAATTGTTAAAAAATCTATTTCACTTTGAAAAAAATGTTGTCCTTAAAGGTGAACTACCAAACCTTTCTGGTAAGGGGTATGCCAAAAGTTTGTCTCCATAAATCTGGAATTTTACACAGTAAATGGTAAATGGTCACACTTTTAAATAACACTTTACATCAAGGAACCACTCACCTATTCACACACACATTCATATACCAGTGTACGCAGACAATGGGGGAGAGGTGGGTTAAAGGGACAGTCCGAAATTTTGAACATAAGACCTCATTTCCTAGTGTGCCAGAGTGTTGGAGACGTGTGGAGACACTTTTTTAAATATTCCATCCAGAGGTCACTGGTGCTAGGCTAGTGCATGTCAATGGCCATAGTTAGCCTGCCATTAAAAGCAATCTTACCCACTCCACAAACCACCCGAAGCAAATATATTATTACACCAGACTGTCGATGTGAATGTCCTGTGTCGATAGAATAATTTTAAAAGTAAAACCAAGCTTGCATTTGAAGGACTTATGCCTGAGCAGCAGCAGTGACTTGACAGAAAGCTTGGCAACGGCGGACTGATAACACCTAGCACCTACCTTACCAGCAAAGTAAAATTCCGCTGCTGCTGTGAAATTAGTCCCTCAAAATACGACGATTCATGCAAGGTTATTCTATCAACACAGACATTTACACTGACAGTCTGGTGTAAGAGTAGGTAAGACAGTTTTTAGTGGCAGGATAACTATGGCCATTGACATGCGCTAGAGTAACACCAGTGACCTCTGCAAATACAAGGACTGGATGGAATATTTATAAAAGTGTCTCCAACACTCTGGCTAACTAGGAAATGAGGTCCTATGTCCAAAATGCTTTAAGTGTCTTGCCCAGAGAAACAATGGCAGCATTCATCTGCAGGAGCAGGATTCAAACCGCCAACCTTCAGATCAGAGAACGAACACTACCAATTTCAGTACTGACAGTATGGCATTAAACACATATATTCGTAGTACGGGCTAGGTCACTTCTCAGGTATGACAGGTACCTTGGCCTGGTGGTGGTGGTCGTTGTGGAAATAGTTAAGTTTAATGCTATACTGTGGTACATTTCAGGTCAGGTATACAGCATTCTCCCTTAATGACATATGATATGTAATCTTTTTTTCATTTAAATATTTTGTTGATCGAAACTAAAATGTTAATTCAATACAAAATAAATAAAGTAAAACAAACGTTATTTAAAATTATGATTTCATTTGTTTTATGCATGAATTGTCTTTATCTGGACTTATACTGACTAGTTTTCCCTCATAGAAAGAATAGGAAATGCCCCCAAACAACTGATTATACTTGTTAATAACATTTCCTTTGGTTTGACATAAGAATGAGTTTGCAAAACCGGCTAAAAAAAGCCCTCATGCACAGATCTGATAGAAACAATGCAAGTCCATATTATCTTGATGAATGTCACGGATGCATTACTCTGGTAAAGTGGCGTATTGAAATCATTTAATAGTGCTCTAAATGCTAAAAGCTTTGAACTTTTCTGTCCAGATTGACGCGGTTAATGGAGCATAATGAAATCACAGACTCAGTGATTGACCACTGCAGAAGATGTGGTTCTCAGAGAAGAATGTGTAATACTGAAACAGGAAGGCATGCTGGGCCCAGATGGAAGACTGAAAATGTTTCACAGATATTTCACAAGTTAATTTTACATTTTGGTTGCAACAAAAAAAAAGAATCAGCAATATTAGCAGGTCCACTAGTCATTGTAGTTTGGAAATGTGACTTTAAATACATATTTTAATGCTAAACAAATTTACTTGACAATTGATTATAATTTGTAGTTATTTTTAAAATGTTTTCAATTCATTAGCCGTTCATATTTTCCATACTCATTGGCATCTGAATAGTTATTATAGCATATAATGTATTTCATCTCATATCTAATTTATATTTCTCTCTCTTTTTGTGTTAATGTCTAACCCAGGGACAGTATTATGGTCAAAAGGCGGCCTTCTGGTTGCAGAGCAAACACTTAGTCCATCCTTGAAAAATAATAAGTAAAATAATAATATATATAATGAAACACTTCAACATTTGAAATTCTAATTCTGATTGCATTTCTATTAGTACTTAAGCCTCAAATCATTCTTTTGAATATATTTAAATGTGCACACGAGGGAACTCATCCGTGATTGAGGGGGCAGTGTTTCCCGCAGTGCTTTTTAGTTAGGGTGGCAGCCTTGACAACAATCACACCCCCGCCTTGACTACGTCCCTCAGAACCAACTGAATTTTCGCAAAATTACGGTTGTCGTGCCCCGGTCCTCACTTTCACCTTCTGCCTGCACAAATTCTCCGCCCCCCCATATCCTGCCCCTATCGAAAGAGTAATTTCAACCACTGGGGACACTAACTGCCAGCAGATCTGCACTTACTGCAAACAGTTATTTTTTCTGACCAAAAATATGAAGATTGAGTAAAACTTCATGCAGGAACAATTGGTGTTGCTCTTTACTTTTTGAAAACTTTTGCTAACTGTTTACAAGGAATTTATTTTTTATAATATGTCATACATTTGTTGCTTATTTGAGAATATTTTATTTAACTTATTAGTATTACCAAGCAGCACTTATTATTTATTATATCATTTATTTTATTTTCCCATTTGTATAATACAAACTAGTTGTTGGTTTAATAAACACACAAATAAACAAGAAGCAAATGATTTTGAAAATGAGCTGAACCGTGACCTCAAAACCGAGGTACGTACCGAACTGTGATTTTTGTGTACCATTACACCCCAAGCACAACATCACTTTTCTGGTGGAAGGGTCCGCCACCTGCTGGCCTCTCTGGAGCTCATGTTCCACAGCATGGCAAAGATAACAACGCCACCAGGCAGCTCACGCTACGAGAGATGCAGCTCACGCTATGAATAAATGTTTGTCAATGTCATTTTTTATTTTATTTTTTTTACAATAACCCTGTAATTGAATAAATGCAAAATAGACAAGTCTGCCAAACCATCAAGTTACATGGCTACCCTTTAAGTTACACTCGCACCCCTCATGACAGACCACAGACGCTATCAATCCTGACACGTTAGTATCCCCAGCGCGGGTCGGTCTTAGCATGACGGCCGCACAGGTGAGCCGTCAGCTGTTTTACATCACTGATAATAAGGCGCTCCCCTGACCTCAGCGCCGCTCCTGGTCTCCGCGTGATGGATGATCCTACCCCCTGACCCCATCCTCCGCTGCCCTGTGCGCGGTGGCCTACATCTGGAACAAAGATCACCGCTTTTTTTCTCATGCGGCGTTCCTCAGGAGGACGTGACCGGACCGATGAATTTCTGCCAAGCCACCGTAGTTGTTCACTTCCTCCACTCGTTTCCATCGGGGAGGAAAAATGAAAGAAAAACTGGCTGTGAACTTTGATGTGCGATGGTTTGGTGATGAATGAGCACTGAGACAGGGACCTGAGATATATCAATGTAGTATTTGTGTTTTTCTCTTTATCTCGAGTTATACATGTCCCCAAACAGTAAAACAAGATACATTTGTAGGATAAGCATAATGTTGGGAGGAGATGATGTCCAATTTTATACTCGCTGTGGGTTTTAGAAGTAAATTTACTGTGATATTACGCGGTGACAGAGGGGAGAAGAGAAGCCAAAAATCTGCAGTAATCTAAACATATGGATAAGATCAGATACAGTGGAGGATATATGGGAAAAATGTCAGTACAAGCATAAAGGGACTGTAGCTTACCTGATGTTCTCATGTAATGAAATAAGAATGCAGTGATCTGATACTGGTATCGAACGTCGGCAGGGATACTGACAAATTTGCTGGATTGGATATCGGCTTCTAATATATTGGTTCAGTCAGTATCCTGGTTGGACATATAAATCAATCAATGTAACAAGATAATTTACTGGTCATAGTTGGCCCAGTTTAAATTTTATTTATACAAATCTATTTTGTAATTACTTCAAAGATAACACCTAGATAACATACTGATACTGTTTGGGGCCAGCAGTACCCTCACTGATGTGGGACACCTCAAAAATTATGTTCGTCCCACTGTCACCAACCTTGGCGTCACCTTAGACAGTGATTTTAAGTTTGACAAGCAGATTAATGGTGTCTTAAAAGTTTGTATCATTTGCGGCTTTTATCTAAGTTAAACCTTTTTTATCTTTTAAACTTTTTGAACAAGTTATGCATGCTTTTATTTCATCACACCTGGACTACTGTAACGCACTTTATTCCGGCATATCACAAAACGCACTTTACCGACTAGTTTGTTCAAAACCCCGCAGCGCGACTTTTAACAGGAACAAAAAGGAGAGAGCACATTACCCCAATCCTTGCGTCTTTGCACTGGCTTCCTGTTAATTTTAGAATTGATTTTAAGATTTTACTGTTTGTTTTTAAAGCTTTGAATTGACTGGCCCCACAGTACGTCTTGGACCTCATCCAAATTTATCTATACCCCCGCGCGCGTTCTGAGGTCCGAGGTCCAGCTCCAGCTCTCTGTGCCTAAGACGAGACTTAAAACCAGGAGGGACAGGGCCTTCTCTGTGGTTGGACCTAAGCTCTGGAACACTCTGCCTCCCCACGTCCGAACAGCCCCCACACTGGAGAGTTTTAAGTCTCGTCTTAAGACCCACTTTTATTCTCTGGCTTTTAACACCACGTGAGTTGTGTGGTGAGTTGTGTGGTGAGTTGTGTGGTGAGTTGTGTGGTCCTTTATTTTGTATTTTAACGGATCAATCAGATGCCTTCATTCAGAGGTCCCTCCTGCTAGTGTTAGCAACAGGTTTGATTGACAGCTAGTGCGTTTCGTTGCTAAGTAAGCTTGCTTCTCGTTTTCCAGTGTGAAGGGCGGGCATATTTAACAACCTCAATCATGATTGGCTCTCGTGGTTGCTATGATACTCACGGTCAGATTTCCAAATCCAGATTTGCTCCTGTAACCGTTACCATCAGGAGCTTCATTTGAGTGGAGCTGAACACTGTGGGTGATGTTACACTCACTTGGTTGTTGGCATGCTAAATTGTTGTTAGTATCTCTGTGGGGGTCACTCTGCTTTAGTCTCTGAAAGTTGTGAAACCCGTTCATAAATTTATTGTGGTAAATAATTAGGATGCTTTCTGTTTGTGAGGAATAGCTTTTGACAACTGCAAACTGTTTAATCTCAGACATTACTATGACAAAAATATAAGAATAATTTTACAGTTTCATTTGGCTATTTTTTATTGTTTTTATTTATTTATTTTTGCCATAGACAAGATGCATCTAGATTAGAAAATGTGCTTAAGTGTCTTGCCCAAAGATCCAACAACATTTTTCCCCTAGTGGTCCTGCTCACATTGAAATGAATGACTATATTAACAGGCGTTTGGTATCTCCCTCTCACTCTGAGACACACTGATGCGCTGGTCTAAGGACTGGATAATGACCGTCAATACTCACAGCCATCTCACGACTCACTTCCAATCTTAAAGTTCATTTTTCTTTCAAATGGAAACAGTCTATTACTGATGTTGATTTCAGAATACAAATCGGCTATGTGGAGGTATTATGAAAGCTCTTACCAATGACAACCTCTTCATTCAGCTGCTAAGTGAGATAAGCCTCTAGTTTTTGTTATCATTTAGTTTCCATTAACTCCATTAACTCTGCAATCAAATGCCAGACATTAAAATAAAGCAAAGAAGTGAAGTGCAAGAGCCCAAACAATAGAGTTGTGTGAGATGTTAGTTATGTTTGTTTTATTTTTATTTTGGACTTGACAACCTGCATTCACATCTTCCAAAATAGATGAATAATGTGGATTTCCATCTGCAGTCCCCGTGACATCCAAAATATAGAAACACAAATAGCATAAAACAATGCAATCAAACAATACAAATAGTGATCTAAATTACAATGACATTAAAATCTCTATCCACTCACCACCCTACTCCCTCTGTGCCCTTCATCAGATACAATTAAGTTGTTAGTTATAAGTTGTTTTTCCTAAATTTGTTGGCACTTTATGCTGGCATTTCTGTGTTGTATTTATTTATTTATTTTCCTTAATTCCGCACTAAACTTTAATTAACTTTAATTTAATCCTTGGAGTCATTTATTTTTCTTTTTGGAAAAGACAAAGTAAAGCTTCAGTTCACATCTAATAGCGGGGAAGACTGGAGGGAGTTTGGGCTCCATGGGTCCAAGTATAGCGCAGATTAGTGACAACAGAAATGGGTACAATATTGTAAACAATACTTTTTTCTACCACGCTTTTCTGAAGTAGTGTCCAACATCTGCTTGTCTAAATGGAGATGTTATTGCTTGTCTGAAATGTTCCACAGTATGGCAGGAACTCACAGACATTCTTACTGTGAGCAGACTTCTCTCTCCACATATATGACCTTTAACTTGGCCTGATGATGTCTCCCAATTGTCTTGATGGAGATGGTTAAGTACAATGCTATATTGTGGAACATTAACATGCAGTAACATCTCTAAGGAGAGGAGATGGTGGATCCTGTTTCTTCATCAAAAACATACCTGGAGCTGTGCTTTGTTTCATTCACACATATTTAGCCCACTATCATACATATTTAGGCTGAGTTCTTCTTTTAAACACAAAACATGCCTGCCAGTCTCTTCTGAACTAAACATAAAAGGCAGCTCTTAACTTGAAAACTCATACGACATAACATCAAAAGGTGGAACACAGCATTTTGAGCTTTGGAGATATAGACAGCCTAAAAACGCAGCATTGCTCAAACATGGGTGAATGAAACAAATGAACAATTATGGGTATGTTTTTGATGAATGAACAACATTCTAACATGCCTAAAGGCTCACAAGAGTCAATTTAGGAAAATCAGTAAATTAAAAAAAAACTTTAATGATTCACAAAATGCTTATAAGAAACCAGTAAGGACCCCTCGTCTTATAAATAGAGACAACTTAGAATAAAATGATTTGAGTCCTGTGTCATCCTCTCATTTTGGCTGCCACCCATTGAAATACCTGCATGAGATTTTACTATTGAGATCAAAGTTCTGGCATCAGTAAAGGTTAATTGCTATATTTTTGAAGATTGGAGTGTAATGTGGTAAGTACGAGGAGAAGGCTCTTATGACCAAACCCTTATTATGTCCTGCAAATGGAAACGATTGCCGCGGCTGGGGGTCTCTGTTCCTGCTTGAGGCCAGTTGGGTGCTATCAGTAATTAGCTCTTCTAGGATTAAAAGCACGTGTAATCACTATATTCATCCTGAAAATACACCCTCTGGCGAAACAGTCCCAGATCCCCCCGGTCCTCTTCTCTGCTTTTGCAATGAAACCCAATTTGTTGTTGTGCCTTGTTAAAATTCAAATAAAAAAGCTCAATGTTATGTTCTTGGAAAATCTGAGGCACTGTCCGTGGAGTGAGCTGGATAAGGATATGACTGTAAAACACACGAGTTGCATCATTAGAAGTTTATTGGGAGGTTGTCCTCAAGTTATTGGTGTCTTTATTTTGTTTTTCAGATGCTAGTCCCAATTTCACTTCAAGAATATACATGTGTTGAATGTATTGTAGCATGCAGTAGTAGTTTGTGTATTAAGGGTTTAGCTGAGTGAAAATCATTATGTCTCTATCATAAATGTGGAAAAATCATTACATTAACTATTTTTACAAGCAGTGTATTCCAAAAATATTATTTGGCACCAGTCATAAGTCAGTTCTGGGTTAGCAGTTGCTATCAAGTAGGCTGTTAGATGGACATGTCATGATAGTGGTCAACAGTGGCTGTAGTTGTATCTTTAAGAAAGACACTGCATCCACACCACACCATATGAACACGATGAGTGAATGGCTGTTGGTCAGGGGGGCTGACATTGGCTCAGATTGGCAACTTCACTTCTATCTGCAGGGCAGCTGTGGCTACAGTAGTAGCTGAACACCAGTGGTTCTCAAAGTGGGGTTCAAGACTACTTATGTAATAACATCTCCTATGTTATACTATCTCAATAACACAATGGCCCTCATTTACGAAACTGCTGTTGCTATAACACTGTTTATTTTTTGTCAAAGTTTGCCAATCGTAAGTGTGTTTGCTAGTTAATTGAGGCTACGCTTTTAATTATCACCAGCAGCTCATTGCTTTAAATATAAAACAGCAGCATACATAACTTTGGACACACTCCCGGAGAAGAAGCCCAGAGCAGAAGCACTGACTTCGAGTAACAGAGGCACTCAACAGTGGTAAAGACGTGAGAAACACTCACCCTAGCATACTGTCTCTATGGTCTGGGGGACCTGGGAAGCAGTACGCAGTAGATCGGATCAAAGCGGTTCTCTCCCGCCCTCTCATGTGCCAGGTTCCGAGGTCCAAGCATCCAAGCGCAGATCCAGTCCATGAAGTCAGAGTGGCACCGTCTCCGCCCACTACGCAGTGGACTAGGTCTGGGCAGATTGGCCATCCTGTGCTCTGTGTCCTGGGGGTCCGGCTAGTTCTGAGGTGGAACAAAGATAGGAGTGAATTGCGGATCCAGTTTGGTCCGTTATATGTTGTTCTGAGTGGCCCGTCAGCGGCGCAACTGTGGCGCTGCTCACACAGAGGCACCTAACGCCACTCCCCACTCCAACTCATCTGAGCCTGACCTGAACTAGAGATGCTCTCCGCTGGTTCAGGCGAGTCTATTACAGTGATTTGGAAGTTGAATTAATAAATGACAAATGTATAATATTTTTAGGGTTAAGATTTGTTTTCTGCAAATCACACATTTTCTGCATTTTACAATGAGCCAAAGTCTTCTTTTTATATAATTCTTTATGATTTCTTCAGATAAATGTACATTTTGACATATTCCGTGAGCTCATGCTGTAAATCTCAAGGATGAGGCCACATAAAATGTGAATATTTCGAGACGTTTCATTCAAAATATTTTCACCCACCACATTTATCAGTTGCTGCTCATGTGTACGTCAGGATCAGAATTCTGCTCTTTTTGATGGAACGAATTACACCAAATCCATAATCCAAATCCATAAAATAATCCAAATCCATAATCTTTCATCCACTGTTGGTTACAAACATGGTTTGAATTTCTGTATTTTATTGGAATACCATTGTAGAGATGATAGGGAGTTCTTGGGACATGTTAAGATAAGGCATCCCTGACCTCAAAACCTTTGAGAACCCCTGACTTACCACTACTAAGTGTGTAGTGAATGAATGCAAAGTAAATGGTTTGGGTATCTTGAAAATTAGTTGTAGTAGTGTGTATGTATAATGTAAGAACAAGGGGGCAGGAAAATGTTTAAAATAAATGCATAAACATGGGTAATGGAAACACAGGTCAATATAATATGGATATTTACACCTCCCAAATGTCCCAGAAACCTTAACCTACCAGTGTAATGACCTGCAACATACAATAATACAATACAATTAAAGGTCTTTCTTATGCTGAATTTGCTTATGTGAGCTTTTAGCTGTGTTATAAAGTTGATACCTCATATCTGCAGTTGTGTTTTGTTTCATCCACAGGTTTGAGTAATCCTGGTTTATTAGTCTGTCCAAAGCTCAAAATGATCTGTTCCACTTGTGAAACGGTCGATTTTAAGTTAACAGTTGAAAAGAGAGTGTACGGACATGACATCACAAGGTGGAACAGTGTTTATTGCTTGTGTTCTTCTCTTCTGTGTGAGACAAGAGCTGTGCCTAAATATGTAGGATTTGAGTGTTAAACATGTGTGAATGAATCAAAAGACAATTCCAGTTATGCGTTTGATGAGGAAACATTATAACATAAATCAGAAAACAGCATAATATGGGCCCTTTAAAATATTTTGACATTTAGATCAGTCTTACTCTTACTCACAGTGGGGACTATATATAGCAAGCGCTGCTGCTGAGACTGCATCACAATTTCAGATTTAATATTCATGTCGCATGTAGAACAGATCACTTCATTAATCTCCTGTCATAAGGGTTTAAAGAAGCAATTAGAGTTAATTATGAACAATTAAAAATGCTAAGAAATGATATTAAAACATACTACTTCTTACCTAATTATATTCCATGGAAAAGTCTATGGAAATATTCTCTGCAAATATTAATATTCGTTTTTGTCACTTAGATTAAAAACATTTCCTCTCATGCGTTAAGCCAAATGGTGAATGCCGGGGGCCACTATCGGCATAATGAAATATCCACATGTTCTACTAATTTGCCTTTATTGCACTACCAAAATTCATTGTTGCGTGAAAAATAATAAACATGGAATATCATTATGTGACTACAGCAAAAACCTCCTCCTGTCTGAGTGTGGACTGTTCATGGATTTCAAATTATGTGTCAGTAAAGTTGGCTGTGAATGTTACCAAAGTATGTAGAATGTAGGAGGAAAAATGCATGAAAAAAATGACTTTGCTGTTGCAAACACAGACCATCCTGTAGGCAAGAATGCGTTTGGAGGTTCATGATGTAACCTATAAAACAATGCAATAATTCAAAATCATGTGAAATCCTAAAAATATATCAGTTTAATGCCATACTGTGAAACAATCTAAAGAATATTATAACATCTCCATGGAGACAAATTACACTGGGCAACTATAAAAGTCCATTCAGATCAGAGTGTCAAGGCATCCAGTTTACATGCAAAGTCTATATGGACACATGTCCAGGGCGTCCAGTGTTTTTGTGGCGCATCTTCGGGCGTCAGCGCAACGAGAATCTGGTGTCGACACAGTGCGTCTTGAGTGTTTAGGCGTCAACCCTCTGGATGCGCATCCTGGGCCCAACCAGAGACAACTATCCAGTGCTGTATAGTAAATATATACACAACGCAACTGCAGAGCCGATCACCAGGACTAAACCAGGACTGGACCAGAACTAAAACCAGGACTGAACCAGGACTGGGCCAGCATCATTAGCATGTCATTAGCAGAGTATACATGCCTCAGCCGCTGAGGCGATCACCTCCGCTAATGGGTTTTATGTAATACATACAATAAAGCCGGGGGGCATCTAAACTCAAATGCAAACATGTCCAGCTAGAGGTGTCCAGCGCATTTTTAGATGCTCCAGACTTAACAGACCTTGATGATGGCTAAAATGCAAAGGACCTAATGTATGTCGTACCAAGTCTCAAGGCGTTCGAGGAACCACTCAACCATTCGCACACGCTTTCATACATCAGCCTCCACAGACACTGGGGGCGCGGTGGGTCTAATGTTTTGACAAAGGACAGAACAACAGCATTCATCTGTGGGAGCTGGAATCATACCGCCAACCTGTGGGTTTGCGGATCTGACCACTCTCACAATGATATTTATGTCAAGAGCGGGATTCAAACCACCAATCTTCGGATCAGTTGACAAACACTCTACCAGCTAAGCTACTGTCTAGATAAACATAAATAAACGCATAGATAAACATTACACTGTGATTTTAACCAGACACATGGAAAACAAAACTAGTTAATTAGTTTGCAGCGGTCTAAAGGTATTCTGCACATTATGAGCATCCAAATTATTTATAAGCACATTTCACAACTTTCAGAGGCCAGAGTGGAGTTTATCCATCAGAGTAATCCTAACAACTAGCATGCAAACCGTGCACTTCCTGGTTATCAGACAATAAAACTCTTTATGATTAGATTCAGACAGAACACAGTGGACTTATTTTAACCTCAAGAGGTGTTAACATATTTTATCTGTGCTTTGCTCAAATACAAGAAATCAGGGCCTTTAATGATATTAGTGTGGAGAAGCTCGGATTTTAAATGAAAACCTGTTTGCCAACTTTTTCTTAACAAGCCATTCAATAACACTCTGAAATAAGTGGCTATGCAGATGTGGTATTGACTGGAGCCTTGATCAAGTCTTTTAGCGGTTTCTCCTCAATCGACTTTCAATCCACACTTTTCAACGGGGGCTAACGCTAACGGTAAACGCCGTCAGCGGCACTGGTTACTGCATGTTCCTAATTGCTTTATTTTTAACAGACTTTGCCGATGGTATGCACTTTTTTTTCTGTCCGTGGAGAATGCACGCGTGTGGTCTGATGCATTGTGGGTAAGTGTGTCCCCCGGCATGCATGGATTTGTGTTACTGGGTTGGTGTGAATGTAGCAGACCAGAGACCAGAGGGTATATGATTTATAACTTTTTTTTGGTTCTTTGCTATTTACTCAGTGCTTCTTCGTGTATATGTGCATAGATATCAAAACAAGAATACATGAAAAGAAATAATAATAAAACTAAGATAAGAAATATATAACAAAAAAAGGAGGCAGCCGGGTTGCACATTAATACACAATTTCAGTATATGTTTTTTATTTTTTCCCAGTTTATTTGTATATATGTGAATTCTCTTACACCCCTCGGTAATGTGTTTGACAGAATGGAAACCACAGAAGACGCCCGAACCAAAGATAGACATTTTTTGCATGTAACTCCACAATTTAAGTGCATAAATTACCACCTCATAAGACAAGTTGATTGTAGCATGTGGACAATAACAGGGTCTGTTCAGCCAGTGCACTGCATAGAGGAAAACAGTTGTCATTACTGGATAGAAGCAGCAAAATTATTTATGAAACAAAAATGAGGGTAGAGGGTCGCAGGTCTTTGACAGAAAATTCACGCGTGTTTGGAGAAGAAATCAGCAGAATTTGTTCCTTAAAGTCTTTTGTAAAGAAAAGAAAACACTAATTTACACAAAACAAGTAGCCAAATTACAGTTGTTGCCAAAAAGACACTGATTTGATGATTATAGGTCCTATAATACACAAAATTGACTCTTGTGTGCTTCAAGCCATGTTCGAATGATGTTACGTCAACAAAAACATACATGGGTTTGTGTTTTGTTTCATTCACACGTTGATTATGGGAACTCAGATGATTATGTATCTTTTCTGAGACCACATAAATGCAGCATAACACCTGAAGCTAACTGCCTCAACTGATGTGAAAGATGGAAACAAGATCTCTACTATAGATCTGACCACTCAACCATTGATGTATATGTCAAGAACGGGATTCGAACCGCCAACCTTCGGATCAGTGGACAAACGCTTTACCAGCTGAGGCCTTGTGATGTCATGAAACTGTAGATTTCAAGTTAACAGCTATATTTTAACTTTTTTCAGTAGAAATGGGCAATTCCAGCGCTGCGATTATCCAAATGGTTCTTGTGAGGGTGTGCTGGCTTTCAAAAACACAGTGGAGCACTTCCATATGACAACAGTGTTTTCTTTTTGAGAGAAGAACTCAGCCTAAATATGCTAGGTTTATGTGTGAAACATGTGGGAATAAACAAAACACAACTCCAGGCCTGTTTTTGACGAGGAAACAATATTATAAGACAGATCCGAAAATAGTGTAAAATAGGCCTTTGATATTTTTACATTCTTCTCTAATACGATAACATGCTCGCATCCCTAACACAAGAGCAGCCTATTCATCCATTTGAAACTTACCAAACAAATAATGTCTCACCTCCC